TAAGTCTTTGATCCATTCTGAGTTAATTTTCTGTATAGTTTGAACACGGATCCAACTTCATTCTTTTGCATGTGGAAATCCAGTTGTCTCTACGCCATTTATGGAAGAGACTAGTCTTTCCTCATTGGATGAACTTAGCACTGTTGTTGGAAAGCAATTGACCATAGGTGTATGGGTTAATTTCTGGACTCTTAATTCTTTTATATTGGTTTATGAGTTTGTCATTACACTGGTACCACACTGTTTTGATACTGCAGCTTTGTAGTATGTTTTGAAGTAGAAACATGTGATTCCTCCTACTTTGTTCTTTTTTAAGATTGCTTTGGCTACTCAAGGCCCCTTGCAATTCTGTATAAATTTGAGGATTGTTTTTTCCATTCCTGTAAAAAAAAGATTGTTGGAATTTTTATAGGAATTGAAATGGTTAGTACTGACATCTTAACAATATTACATTTTCCAGTTCAGGAACTAGAAGATACTTCCACTTATTTAGGTCTTCTTTAATTTCTTTCGGCAATGAATTACAGTTTTCAGTGTACAAGTGGGTTTGATCATTTCTTAATCCTCTTCCAGCTCTGACGTTTTGTGATTAAAGCTATATACACCTACATCACATGGCTCCTGTCTCTTCCCCACCAGTTCCCCCCACCCCTGCTGTGGCTATCTTTCTGTCTGATCCTTGCTGACAGTGTGTGGAAACCAGAGAGGAGGAAGGTAGGCAGGCCTCATACTCTGTCCCTGCCAGGCCACTTCCTTCAATGGCTCCCTAGAGTTTTCAGGTCCAAGTTCAAACTCATTAACTCAGCATAGCAAGCCTTGATTCTTGCAGCATGGTCTCTGGAACCACCTGCATCACAATCTCGCTGCCTCACTTCCCTTTCCACCTTGTTAACAATGCAGATTCTGACTAAGAAGGTCCAGGATGGGTCGTTGGAATCAGTGTTTATAATCACCCCTGGAGATTTAAAAAAAATGTATTGGTTGTGGGTATGTGTGGGTAGTTTTGTTGTTGTTGTTGTTATGTGCCGTCGAGTCGGCCCGACTCATAGCGACCCCTCCTTGGGTTTCC